ATCAAAATTTTATTAAAAAAATTAAAAGTTGAATAATTATATAAAATGTTAAATATTTTCTTTTATCTTTATTTTTTATATTTTTTTTTGAAAAAAGTCAAAAAATAATATTAAACATACTAATTTTTTTTTCACTCTTATTTTAAAAAGTCAAAAAATTACTAAAATAATTTATTCCAAACCAACCCTAATATAAATAGTAAACTTATTATGCCATTGACAAATAAAGCCTTCGTCTGGGAAGTTGTAGCCCGGGACTTTTTGGTTATTTTAGTCAAAAAAAAATAAAATAGACTTTTTAATGCAATAAGATAAAATATCACAACCAACTTATAATCATTACATTTTTCTCTCACAAAAGTCAAAAAAATTTAGCCCCAAGATAAAATAGCCCAAAACCAACCCACTTTCCAAATAAACCCAAAACAAGAGTAATATTATACAAATAAAAAATTTTATGCATAATATTCATAAATAATAAAGGTGTGGCTCATTGTGAACATTTCATTTCAAAATAAAATATTATTAAAAATAAATTTATTTATAATAATGATATTATTACATTATTTTTATCAACTTTTTTTTTATTAATTTTATATATATTTAAAATTTTTTGTAAAATAAAAAACTTAATATAATATAAAACTTAATATAGTAATATTCTAATAATAAATATAGCATTATTGTTATGGCTCATGTGAACTTATCATACGGTGAGATATTGCCAAGCGCGGGTCCCATTAACTCCAACTTCAACAGCTTTAAGTCTCATACTATGCTTTCAATGTTTGTACCATTTGCAGCTTTGCCTTGTACTTTTATTTGGTATGTTTGCACTTTAATTTGATTCCAAACTAATTTCTAATTCCTAGCTTGACTCAACTTGGACACCAAAACTCAAATAGGAAAGTGTAACGAAAATATGTTTTATCTATGGAATTGACAAATCTAAATAGAATAACACTTATAATTTGTCCATTATGTGAATTTAGTTGTTCGAGTTTCAATTGTTTTAATTTAACCTCTAATTTTTTATGTTGTGTCAATTAATATTAATTGATAATATCTATCAAGAAATTAAATAAAAATAAAATTATTAATTCAAAAGCAATAGACCATTTTAAATTGAATAATTCTATTTATACACTATCGATCCTTTCAGTATACACCATTACTTAGTACACAGACATAATAATTTTTAAATTATGAAAATATCTCAATTCAACCCATAACTTTTTCGTTTTAACCCTAAGCTAATAGATTGGTGCACAACACAACCAATATGTTTAATCAACCTTAATAATTTAAACAAAATAATTTTGTTCAAATATAAATAATTGAACATTTTATAAATGTTCAACTCTGATTGTCCGAATACGTGACAAACGAATAAACCATCTTCTATACGAATGGGATAAACAAAAAAGCAAACTAACATTTTCAATGTTGTATCGTTTCAAATTAACAGTCTGAATGTCATTTATGTTATGCAAATCTTCAAAATTAATTGATTTAAATGTTCTTAAAACTCTAAATCTTCAAAAGTAATAATATTTTGAGTTTAGAAAATAATGGTGAAGATTATAATGACAACGATGATGAGTGTAGTGTGTTAGATTATAATGGTGAAGATGAACAGTGATGGAAGAGAGATTTATTCCAAAACATATAATGTACAGGTGATGGTGTGTAAAGAGAGATTTGTATCTTCATATGTGAATTACTTGAATGAGTACATATGCATCTATATTGTCCTTAATAGTCATTTTATACGAAGATATTATTATCATATAAATTTAATGATTAAATAATTTGCACTGAGGGGATTCATAGTGTGTAAATAAAATCTCCCTTTTAAATTAGACTTCAATCACTTTTGAAAAGAGTGAATGAACTATTTTATTCTATAATTTCAGTTTAATGTCTAAAAGGATACTATCAATTAGACTGCATCAATAAAATATGAAAAATTCTAGGATAAAATTAATATAATTAAAATTATAAGACCAAATTGACATAAAAAGACAAATGGGACTCTATAGATGTAATTTTTCCCAACTTTAATGGGAGCCTCTAGGGCGTCATTTGCCATCTGAGCTACAAAAGTCACACTTTTTTAGACGACTGCAGCTTCTTCCTTTTGTTTTTTTCTTTTTTCTTCTATTTATTTTTATTTTTTTATTCTTTTTTATTTTGCCTTTAATGATTTTTTAAAAATTACTATCAAATTTTGTTACTTTTTCAATCCGTATAATTTTTTTACTTTTTAAATTTGTGTCAAGATTGCCACGTGACTGTTTGCTATCTTCTTACGTTTATTTAGATTAATGTGCAGTTATTTTTCCTTTGAAGAAAAATTGTGTCAAAAAAAAATTGAACATAAATTTCTTACAGTAATTATGTGGTCCCAGAAAGGGATTGAGAAAAATAAACAGGACTAAATCTATCATATGGTTGGAATTTGAAGTTGATGTTATGGCCGTATCTTAAATAAATCTAAACAATTAATGTTAAATTATGGATATTTTTTATGTCTGAAATTGTAGTACCTCGAAGCTGATATGCTATGTGTCTTGCAAATATATATAATGACAGTAGAGGTGTTGTTGGACTTATTGGATTTACTTTCGGGTTTTGTTTTAATGATTTGAATCATTAATATTTTAGGATTCATCGATTATATTATCTCTGTAAAAAATTATATCTGTCGGATAGCGACAATCACGTGTTTAAATTAGTTTTGTGTGAAAAAAATAAATAGCAAGAAAATAAATAATTCGTACAAAACTGATTCAAACACGTAGTTGCCGTTATCTTATCAATTTAATTTTTTGTAGAGATAATGAATTCGACATATTTTAAAATGTGAACGATTCGAATTACCAAAACAAGATCTCAAAGTGAGCCTAATAGATTCAACAACATCTCTCTAATTTTATTATTATTTTTTCTATGAAGATCTTTAATTTGAAGAATCAAAAGAAGTATAATCAATAAAATCCCAAAGAGAAGAAAACAAATAAAGTGGGACTCAATCAAATTGTTGAGGTGAAGATTGTAATTTTAACTCGTCTTTCTACTTTCTTGTCTATTTCCTTTCCCCAATTAAAATCCAAGTTCTAACACGGTAAATAGGACCCACAACAACTATTGTTACACCATCTCATCCACGACTCTTTATGTCACACCATGACACCAATAATTCTAGAAAGGAGTGTTTGATGTAACATCAATTTGGCATCATACGTGGACTTTGTGATAGGGTTAATTATTAAGGGTTTCAAGAAATGAGTTACAGATTAATTTTTTAATTTCTTGATTTTTTTAAATTATATATATATTTTTTATGATTTTAATTTTTTTTAAAAGTTAAAAGATTATTTTTAATCTATTTTTCAAAAATAAATCTAAGTATTATATGATATTATTTATGTAATATTTTAAATTAATTAGATAATTTTTATTTTTATTTTTTTAAGTAATTAAAAAATAAAAAATAACAAATTAATATATATTATGATTTTTATTAATTGAGAATATCGCCAAAAAATATTATAATATTTTGAAACTATGCAATAATTTTTGTTTGTGGTGTGATAGGATGATCCATTTGTGTGGATGTATTCTCATAGAAAAAATTATATATAATTTTATTTTCTAAATTTAGTAATGTATAAGACCATCTCCAATGGTGAACCAAAATTGATATCAGATTTAAATTTTGATGAAAAATATATTTTTCCATGCTCCAACCGTTGCATCAAATGAATATCAAAATGAGAAATCAGCAAAAAAAGTATCAAACTGAGAACAAGTTCCGGATTTTACCAAATCACTGTTACTGACCGTTGAAAGAGATACATCGGTTGCCCGGCCGGTTGACCAACCGGTCAACCGGTTCCCTTTGAAATAACTAGGTTCAAACCGGTCAAAAAAGGTTCAAACAGGTAAAAAAAAAAAAAAAAAAAAATTGCCCAAACCGGTCGACCGGTTGGTCAACCGGCCGGTCGACCACCCGGTCGACCACCTCCCCAATTCTGCTTTGATGCTCACCGTTGGAGCGCCACGTATCAAATTGAAAAAATCGTCATTTTTTTCATCAGATTTAATGAAAAAAGAAGTTAAGCGTTGGAGATACTCTAATACTAATTTCATCAAACTGAGGACAGAATACTGATTTCATCAAAACACTATTTGTGACCGTTGGGGGAGCCCAACCGGTCAACCAGCCGGTTGCCCGACCGGTTGACCAACCGGTTGACCACCAAAAGGTTCAAACAGTTTCGTCGTTTTGGCCATTTGAGCCACTTTTGAGCCACAAAATTTGAGCTACGTAGCATTGTCGTTAAAAAAAATAGTAAAAAAATTACTTTAAATTTTTTAATAAACTACTAAATTATTATATTTTAAAAATAAATCTAATTTTTAAATTAAAATAACACTACTCATCTCATATTTCTCATCATCATTACATTCCACATTTACTCATACTGGTAACAATACATTATATTCTAATTATATTTACAATCCCATATATATCACAAAGCTATCTTTCATCACATAAAGTTCTTGATTTGTCAATCCAGAGATGATACACTCAAAATTTAAAGGATTGTTTTAGAAAATTAGTTAAAAGTTAAGTTTTTGATTTTATATATATATATATATATTTTAAAAATATGTAAAAAAAAGATTTGTTTGGAAAACTTGTTTGGTTTACAAGTTTTGAGAAATTTTTTTGAGAAAATTTATTTAGTTTAATTATTTGTAGAGAAAATTTCTCAAAATTTTTTCAGAAATACAAACCAAACGAACCCACAATAGCTCCGTTTGGAAAGTTGGTTCAGAGGCTTTTTTGGCTAAAATAGTCACAAAAAACAAAATAGACTTTTAACTCAATAAAACAAAGCATCACATCCAACCTATAATCATTATATTCTTTCTCTCACAAAAAAATCAAAAAAGTCAAAAATTCTTCACAAATTAGACTTTTTAGTCCCAAATTAAAATAATAAAAAAAAGTTAAAAAGGCAACCCACTTTCCAAACGAAACTAATATGGATTTAAACTAGTTGATGTTGAGTCATGCCCGAAATAATGCTGCTCCATAGATATTAAATTAAATTACTTTTCTGAATACATAGCATTATTGAGTGAGAGAGAATCATCTAGTGATAAATGCCTTGATATGAGAGATCAATCCATGGGTTTGAGTTTGAGAGAGCTCAGACTTGTTTAGGATGTGAAATGCATGACCAACACCTTTGTAGACCACATAATCCACTTTCTTACCTGCACTAGCCAAAGCAGCACAAAACTCCAAGTTCCTATCTTTCAATATATCCATCTCAGCTATAAACACCATGGTAGGGAAAATCCTCTCCTCCAATTTTGTTGAGGCTTTTGCCAATGGGTTGCACCATGGATGATCCCGGTTCGCCCCCGGCGGCAATGATAACCGCCAATATGTATCCGAGGCCGCCAAGCTAAGGGGGGAGCGTGGTGGTTGCACCATATACTTCTCAGAATGAGTCCTTCCCTCTCCTCCAAAAAATGGTTGTATTAAAATTGTCCCCTTGATGGTCAAAGGCTTTAAAGCCATGGCTTGGCATGAACCAAGTCTAATGCCCACATTGTGGGCTATGTTGGCACCAGCACTATCACCGGCTAGGAAGATGCTAGAGAAATTGCATTGTTTTGACCACATTTCATTGGCGGCACCACATAGGGCTTCTTGTTTCACCCACATGAGTGCCTTGAAACCGTCGTCGTAGGCGGCCGGAAGAGGATTTTCTGGGGCCAATCGATAATTCACTGACATAATTATGCAACCGGATTTGGCAGCGAGCTTTGCTAGGAACTCATGGTAGCAACTCCAAGAAGCCGAACCAACACAAAATCCGCCTCCGTGGAAGTAAACTACCAAAGGAAGCTTCCCGTGACATTTGGGCACGTAAAATCGTGCCCAAATGTTTGTAAACGTATCGATAACCGTGTCATTTGAGGTCACATCAAGATTGGGGACTAATGCACTAGTGACACATGGAACAATCTGAAATCGTTCCACGTGTCCATCTTTGTAAACCCTAACAAGCCCATCAATTTCCTCCATCACAGCCCCATGCTGGTGAGTTTTGGAGTTGGTATGAAGGGTTAAACTTGGATCTAATGTTATGGTTGCCATTCTTCTTTCCCTCGTATGAATGAAAATGAAGAAAAACAAAACCAGCTTATAGAGTGTATTTTTTTGGGTTATAAAATGTTATTCATTTAGGTTTCTTTATATAGAAAAGTGAAAGGAGATAAGGTTCAAGGGCATCAATATGGGAAATGGGTCATCCTCTCTTTACATGCCAAGTGGGTAACTGGAAAATTGCCACATGTCTTCACATGGAGTCTATTATGTGGGGGGTGCGCTGAGTGGGTAGTCCTTGCATTTGGTACCCTAGTTGTCCTGGACTTTCATAAGTGGGTGGTTATGGACTAACCTAAAATGTATCAACTCCACAAACAAATCTCATAGTTGTGTCCAACCAAAAACAAGACAAACGGTGGCCTAAAACATTAACTACTTTTACTTTTGGAAAAATTCAAAAAAATTATAAATTCATTTAAAAATCTAAAACTTTAATTGTTAATGTACATAAATTTTACAGCCAATCTGAAATTATTTTTAAAAATTTACACTAATAGTAATTGTCCCTTTATTTTTTGATAATATTTTATACATATTAGCCACTTGGGAGATAGATCCTATCCTCAGATTTTTACAATTTGACTAACCTTTATAAGTTTAAAACATCAACTACATAAACAATTCTTAATTCTAGAAACGGAAAAAAAAAGAAAAAAGAAAAAAAGCTAGTCATGTTAGAATTAATTAATAGATAAACAAATTGACTTGCAGGGCATGTATGTCCATGAGTTCATTTGTACACAATTAGTGTCCCAGTTTGAAAATGTGTGTTACAAGTTTTTACCAATATACTAAGTTACACGTTTTTGCTAATGACAACCTGTACTAAATCACCGCCTAATGCTGTAAAGAAATCAAGTTTGGCAAAATAAAAATTTATTAGAGATTGACTTGATATCTAAATAAATTAAATTTAAACGCATTTTAAAACTTATTAATTTTTTGAACTCAACTTGAAGTCAACTTGTTAAGTGTATATATGCATCATAAAAATCCAAGCTAAGTTTAAATACTTTTTAAATTTGTCAATTTTTTTAATTAAATTCAAATAACTTACTATTATGCTCAATTAATCTCGTTTATAACCTTACCGCGGGTTGATGCTATTGGCAAAACAAAGTTTTGGATTAGCCCTAGTGTCATAAATTTGTTTAAGTACAAATTTTGTTTTTCTAGTTTAGCCTGGAGGTAAAAAATTTCGTTTGAGAAGGTTTTTTTGACTTTTGTAAAAGAAAAAATGTAATGATTATAGATTGCATGTGATGTTTTATCTTATTAAATTAACAAATCTATTTTATCTTTTTCTAACTAAAATAACTCCCAACTCTTCTTTTCAAAAGAAGCCATAATTATTCATAGAAGTTGATGTGGCTTCCTTCAATAGAATAGGTAAGTGGAAAACAAAAGAGAAGTAAAAACATAACAGCATACCTTCTATAAATAGTTTTATATTTCATATTCTGTTAATAGAATTATTCTATTAGTTATGGAAGGCATAAGGAGTTATTTGGGATTATCAAAAGCCCACTATCGTACAACAACAAAAGAGCTAACCCTTTAATCACCAGAGTCCACAACTATAGATAGTGCTAATCTGCTCATGCATTGGAGAGTCAAGAAGTCTCGTTTAGTGTAATTAATTATAAATTGAAAATTGATAATTAAAAAATAAATTTAAAAAAATCATTTTATCAATTTTTTTAATTTATTTAAGTTATTTTTATCTAATAATTTATAAACAAAAACTCCACCAAACAGTCTAACATAGATTTTAGTATATATATAAAAAAAATAAAAAATAAAAAAGTTATAAACAGCACCAAACAAGCTCAAACATAATGTGCCGAGTTTGGGCTGCTTAAGACTCTTAAAATATTACACTTACATAATCTTTAATGATGTGAATCCATGCATGTCAATTGTCGATTGATTTAAGAATCGACCAACTATAACTTAAATGACTGCCACATAAATATAAATAAATTTAAAATTAATATTTTAAAAATATCTAGCACTATACTTTTATTATAGAGAGAATTATTTGTCAGTGGGTTGAGAAAAAATAAATTATAAATTAATGGTAAAATTTATACACTTTAAGACTATCTCCAACCCAATTCACATCTTTCATCAAAATTAAATTTGATGAAAATTTGATGAAAACGTTGTTATAACTATTTCACCAAATTGGTATCAAACAAAAAGAGCCTTATTTTTTTCATCAAATCAATGGAGCGTTTAACCATTAGGTGATCGTTGGTAGATGACCGAATGGATGACAGGCTAGTCAATCAGGTGGACGATCGGATTGAAAAAAATTTGAAGAAAATTTATGCTACACTGGACGACCTTCCGGACATCCTCCCGGTCGTCCTCCCAATCGATCAGTTGTTTGATGAAAATTAAAATTTTAGCACTGGAACGTTTGGCATTAGATGAAAATTTTAATCCAAATCTTTACTCAAATTTGATGAAAACAAGAGTAAGCATTGGAGATACTCTACTAATTAAAATGCTATATTTTTTTTTATGATATTGTCATTTCTTTTCACTGTATCACCGAACAGTTATCACCCCTTTATTATATACATGTAACATCTACGCACATAGGGCACAAAATTTTATTTAAATTCTATCGTCCCATTTCTCAAAATATAAAAGCCGTGTAAGGATTTTGAATTTGATGATAAATTAATAGAAGAAGATGTGAATGAAATATAAATTAATTATTTTTTTAATTTTGCTTCTTTTCTTTCAAAAAATAAAAAAAATTTAAATTTATCATTCAAACACAATCTAATAATTATTATATCTTGAAATTACTGCACGTCAAAATTTTCACATAATGCAACAATTGTAAGTATTATAAAACAAAAAAAAGAATAGAAAATTTTAGGATAAATTACACTTTCCACATTTATAGTTTGACTCAAATTTCATTTTGATCTCTATTCTTTTAGTTTGAATAATTTACTTCTTGCACTTTAAATCTAGTTTCAATTTGATCATGCCATTCAAATTTTCATGTTTTTTTTTAACTTACACACCTTAAAATACTGACAAGTGTCATAAAATTTTTAATTTTAATCTTCAATATAAATAGAAAGACGAAATTAAAATTAATCTTAAAATATAAAAATTAAATTATTCAATTTGAATCAAATTACAAGATGAAAAGTATACTTTACCCAAAAATTGAAGAATAGAAGTTGTTAGACCCACAGAGAGGGAAGAGGGTGATGATGTTGGCAACTTGCCAAATGCATGTACAATGAAAGTCAAAAATCTCAACCAACCTGACTTTCGAGGGTTGCTTTGCCTTCCAATAACATCTTTTCAAAGCAAGTGTTTGGGACATTTTGCTCTGAAATCAAAAAGAGCATTCAAGAATTTTATCTCATCCACTTTGAGAACTTGGTGTGCTTGTGTGTGGACTTGGATTGGGCAAGTCATCTAGTTCACATTAGTTCATTAGAACTCATGATAGCTTTTTAAGAAAGGCCCTTTTCCCTGTTTTCAGGGCATCCACGGAACATGCTTCGCGCACACATCTTTTCAAAGCCCAAAAAAAGAATTTGTGGAATATTTTAGGTCAAAGGCTTTCCCTTGTCTCATCAAATGGTTTACTAATATCACTTTTACCCCCAAACCCTACAATTACAAGCACTTATCATAATGACTTTCTCACCTATCCGTCAGCTTGTTTGGTTCTTATTTTTAGAATTTATTTTTTTAAAAATTAAATTTTTGTATTTTTCATATTTTTTTTATTAAATTTTTAAAATTTTTAGATATATCTAATATAAATACACTTAGAAAGTATAATATTTGTGAAATTTTTTTTTAAAAAAATTCACTAAATATCAAAAATATAAAAGAAATATGAGAATTCAACACATTTTTCATATTCTTATGTATTTATTGATTTATATTTTTCTTATTTTGGTGTATTTATTGATTTTTTAAAATTTTTGTTTACAAATATTTTACTTTTTCGATACATCTAAGTAAGGTGTATCTAAAAAAATTTGTTTAAAATTTTAAAAATATTCAATAAAAACAAAAACAAAAACAAAAAACTCAATTTTAAAAAAATTAAATTCAGAAAATTGAAACTAAACACACAGTATAATTTTCTATCTTTCCATTCCCTATGCCAAGAGTAGAATCCCATCTTTCACTACAAAAAATTAGTTTTTAGAAACCAAAATTTAGGGACAAAATTATTTTTTAAAGACCAAATAATTTTATTGTGAAAAGTGTTGTTATTATATTTTTAGCAACAAAAATTAGACATTAGTGACAAATTATTATCCTTTTGGGACCAAATTTTTTGTCTCAAAAAATAAAAATTTTGAGACCAAATTATTTTGTCCTTTAAAATCTATTTATTAGTGACATTTTCAAATTTTTGTCACCAAAAGCCTTATTTTTGACTTTTCGGAATGACCTTTTAACAACTATCCTCATAACGATAAAAATTGATTCCTAAATTTTTTTGCAACAAAACTTTCCCTTTGATCTCTAAAACTCTTATATGTTATAGTATTTGTTCATAAATTATTACATGCATCTAGGGCTGCAAATGAACCGAGCCGAGCCGAGCTGAGCTTTGCTGAGCTCGAGCTCAGCTTGTTTACTTATCGAGCTCGTTTATTGAGCTCGAGCTCGGCTCGATAAGAAGCTGGGCTGGGCTCGGCTCGTTAATTTTAATGAAACTCGAATTTGGCTCGGCTCGGCTCGATAAATTTTTTTAATATTATTTATATTATTTAATATATAAAAATATATTTATATTATTATTTATATATATATTTATATATTTTTAATATATAAATAATATATTTATTATATAATTTAAATAAAGATAAACGAATTCCTTATATAAGTTGGTTGTTTCTTACCCATTACAGGGACTCTTTATTGTGTTTTTAATTTCTATAAGACTCTTTATTAGATTAATTCCTTATATAAGTTGGTTGTTTCTTACCCATTACAGGGACTCTTTATTGTGTTTTTAATTTCTATAAGACTCTTTATTAGATTAATTCCTTATATAAGTTGGTTGTTTC